ATGACTGTATAGCCAATACATCCTTAAACAAAATCATATAATAAATGAAATTATGTTCTAACACTAGAGATGTGCGAGAAGCCGAAAATATCGTTTCCCGAATATTTCGGAGTCATGTTGGTCGGAATCACGACACATTTTCGGGTTCTCGATTATTTTATTTGACACCTGCTTAATCTACTAGTCTCTTCCCTATTTCAACGTCTTAACAATAATAGATAAAACATATTGCAAAGGTATGAACGAAAAAGTCGCATAAAGTGTTTAAAATTTATTTTGTTCGCACAGTTCTTCATATTCCAAAAGTATCCTGTTTTTCAAGGATTCGATATTATTATAACGAGTCCCATTTCATATACACGTTGTTTCCGTATTTATAAATTGAACGTTAATCGCGTTAATAACGTCTTTGATGCTAGTGCATTTACCTAATAGTAGAGAACCGAAGAATTTAATGTGTAGTTAATCGTCATGTACAAAATAGTATGCTTGGCATTGTGTTTGTTTGACGATGGAACACATGAGACCAGTGTTAGGAAAACAGATATCTGTGCACACGAGTGGCCACGTACTTTTATAATGAGAAACATGTATCTAAATCGAGGGACGCGATGAGCACTCGTTTTTCTACCGTTGAGCCATCGTCGTTACAAATCTCAGATTTGTGTCACAGTTGCATAGTATCAACGCAGGAATATAAAAAAGTTGAGTAATTATTTGCACTAGAGCTATTTTTTTACATATTCGTTTTTAAATAAATTACTAATCTGTGTGTATATGTATACCAATAAATTCATTTGACACTAAATCGTCTACGGATAGCCGAGTTGGGCGCAAAAATTGAATAAATAATATGTTCTTCATAAGCCGGTGATTCCAGTAACGAACTCGTTTATGACTAGTGAATAACAATTCGCCAAATTAATCGATTAATCCGATCTGAAGTTTTTGTCACTAACTCTGCCCGATTCCGATACTTTGGCGCTTGGATTACTCTTAGATACCGTTTCTCACGAAAGTATTTACATCGTAAAGAGATAGAGAACGGACAGAGTTACATTTTGTACGCATCTAGGGAAAGAAATACTAACGATATCCCATTTGTTCATATTACCGTATATACTTTACAGTTGGTGTTATACGTATTGCGTAAATGGTTTATTCCGTTATACTGTCTTCTGTGTACAAAGCAATAAATACACTTACAACGTAATACAAATAGATCGCTATCGGTTAAGTATGTTAATCGGTCGATGCTAGAAAAGGAAAAGTACCCGTGACAAATTTATCTTCTATCTACGTTAATCTACGGATTACGAGCAGTGACATTCGTGTATACATATATAGAAATCACGCGTAAAACCAACAATGCTAACGTTGTCCTACGCATAAATCAGGCACAAAAAAGCACTACTGTTCACTTAAGTGTGTTCTAGTAAATCACAGTTTGCGACGAAACGATTATAAAGAAACGACCGTGATTTAATTAAGTTCATCGACAACCAAAGTTAATTCAGAATTCTTCGCGTGAATCTTGTGAAAATTATTTTACCCATGAACTTACTTAGAAATGACGATGTACGAGTTCTATCTGTATCTGGCACTTCATGGCAAATCAAAGTTAGGGCTCTTAGGACTCGCCTAAAATCTGATGGAAATTCATATGAAAAATTGCAGTGTTACGATTTGTTCTAATATCAGCGTTATTCGTTATTCACTCATTTATGCTAGTTGAATGCGCAACTTTCCTTATTTCTATCGTAATACGTACAGAAACCAGTTTGCTACATATTGTCAACGAGTGAAAAAAGTTATAAAAGTCATTAAAGTCAATTTTACTATCATTTGGGTAAACCTGTTCCATTCATTTTCTGTACTATCTATCATTGAACTCGTTTTGTAACGCCTTTGATACTAGTACAGTAAGAACAACAGGCCCGTGTCCACATCTTTCCCATTAGAAATAATGATTTTAATTCTTATTTCTTTTCTTTATCTGTCTCGGTCGTTTCCTTTTTAACTGAAAGCTTATTGTCGCACTTTTTATCTCTATCAGTTTCTACGAATTCTTTTTTTACTGGAACTTTATTATCACCCCATCGTGTATCCGTTTTAAATTTAGTTTCAATCTCTGATCCATTAAGCTCGCCAACTTTCTCATCTTGAATTTCGACAATCTCTACTTTCTTTGTATCGGAGTGTATTGTTTTCGCTGCTATGTGATACACGTTTTTTACTGCCGTAAGATACATATGGCATTCATTCTGTAAAAGAAAAAGAAAGTAGTATGAGTACATATTTCGAAAATATTACATTATTCAAAGTCTGATAAAAGTAAAACGCTTACAGATACTTTCTTGAACTTCTCATCCGTATTTCTTAATTTATCTTTGTACATCTTTAAGTCCTCTGAAAGAGCTTTTATGTTATTTGATTGTTTCGTTGATTTCTCATTCACTATGGATAATTCATGCTGCAATTCCATTAGTCGTTCCTCTGTGTCTAGCCGAGCTTTCTCAGATCTTTTTAATTGGCTAACAAGTTTCTCTACATCTAATAAAGAGCCTTTGTACATAACGAAACCTTCTGGTGTCGATTCTTCGTACTGGTCTATGAGCACATCTTCCCTTCGCGCTCTCTTCGAGGGTGGTCCGCTGCCAACGAACACTGGCAACAGTTTCTTATTTCCTACAATATAAGAATAATGAAATATGAATATTTCAGTTTACACATTGTTAAAAGATTTGTATGAAATAAATATTTACCAAGCGCTAATGCACGCACTATCACCTCTTCACCTTCTACTTTAGTAGGATCAGACTTATCGAATTCTTTATCGTCTTTCTTATCATCCTTTAGATCGTCATCTCTCGATCTATCTGTTAATTTACGGTAATGCAAAGAATCCCTAGTTACAACCTTTTGTACTAATTTACGAACTTGAGCTCTCGATAAATTCAATCCTAAAGTATAAATAAGTTCTTCTATATCTTTGTCAAATATGTAACCGCAGTGAGTTTGATCGAAATAAACGAAAGACAGTAAGAGGTACGGATCGTGTGTGTACAATTTTATTTTCCTTTTCCGTCCATCTTTATCTCTGTCTCTTCTCCCGTCTTTCATGGAATCATCATCCTATGAAAAAGAAAATATAATCATTATTTCTCTACAAAATCTTGTATACTCGTAGCCAATGATATTGAAATGAAGATTACATCAGATTCATCTTCTTCGTCATCGTCGTCGTCGTCGTTTTTCTCTTTTTCTCGATCTTTTTCCTCCGTTTTACTCTTCGCATCCTTTTCATCCTTCTTATCTTTACTCCCTTCTCTCCTCTTGTCATCCTTCCTGTCATCTTTCTTACTACATCTCTTTTCATCTTCTTTCCTCTTATCGTCTTTCTTTTCGTCCCTCTTATCATCCTTCTTGTCCTTCTTCTTATCTTCATCTTTTTCCTTCGGTTTTTCAGGAAGGCTACATAACGCTCGATAAATCCGGAAGCCGAAATCTCGCATTAACATTTCGTTAAAAAGCTCCGCGAATAACGATACCTCGAAGGAATGTTCCTACGTGTGAGAAAAATTAATATGATAAAAATGCCTCGTCTAATTTAGGAGTAATTCGTACGTGAAGAAAAAATACCTTTGTATCTTCCGGTCTATAATCTAGAAGTACACTCAAAGACATGACGGTACAATCGAACTTTCCACTTTTAGCCATTCTGGAAGGATGGACGATAATGTGAGATGATTCGGGTAAAGTGTATCGTTTTTCAAGGACTGCACGTTCACGCTCGCACAGCTTTCTTCTATCTTCATCGTGCTGCATGTCAATTGTATAGAAAATTAATCTTCAAATATGATATACATTAGACCATTAATGTCTTACTTCAACATTTTTTATGCATTGACGGAAGTATATAAGGAATCTCACATCTTTATTGTCCTTGAACTTTTTATCCTCCTCTTCTTTCGGCGGAGGCGATACATCCTTTTCGTTTTCTTCTATCTCATCCGTCCTTCCTTCTTCTTTAGCTTGTTCTGACGCTATCGTTTTCGTCAGTCTTGCGAGTAACTGAGACTTCAAGCCTTTACAATTCAAATTGCGGGCTGCCAATTCTTGCCGTAGCTCGCTCACCTAAGAACACGTAAGTGAATGAGTGACGATTACAAGAAATACAGTCTACTTTTAAATGATTCTGTTGAAACTTACATTCATGGACTTTGGATCTAGTTCAGAGTAATGAGTGGGATCCTTCTTCTCTGGCACTGGTTCATCCTGAAAAGAAGAAATCGAGCATTACATTACGGAATTAAAAAACATGATAGAAAACTACAAAACAGAAGCAGCCCCTATATAACGAAACGAAACGAAACAAAACTACTCCCTCGTCATTCTTTCATCATTCTGTTTTACCATCACTCTCTCATTTCACATTTTAATGATAATACACGGCTCTTCATTCACGATGACCTTCACGTATGACTCAAGTAACTGCTAGATTCTCATAGTGTCCTGGCTCTGGTGTCTGTGTGGTTGATAGTTTATGGATATATATCAATAATGTTGTATACAACGATTATCAAAATGAAAACTTTCGAATGATTTAATCAATGATGGTGAAGGTTTCGGGAAAGGGAATGACTCAGCTGCGCTCTTCTCCGAGCTAGGCTTGCTTGCTTCTCTTGTTAATGCAATGTGACTGCCAGTAGCTAAGGGAATACTTGCAATACGTTACTCATTGATCTTTCTCACATTACCTTAACTTCAAAACTTTCTGTTACAACAAATATTCGAATGTACTACCAATTTACGATTATATTACTTTCATATCATTCAGCACATCATGTCACTTCATACAGATAACAATCTCTTCAATCATACAAGAATCCGTATGGGCGACCATACCGCGTTCGATTCATAATCTACTCGATGGCACAACATTATTCATATGTTACCGAGTCATTTAAAAAAAGAAATAATCACCCCCTCGTATGGAAATAATAATGAAAATTGAAATACCGAGGTAAACAGCGATAAACTACTTATGCAGTAGGACAGCATTCAATAAATAAAGTGATATCGTTTAAGTGGTCTAAGTTAGTAGTAGAGAACAGCGTGATGTTCGAAAACAAACAAATATCCGGCACATAGGATCAATGAGCAAGTAGAGCCTATATCGAAAATCCAGTTTAGTAATGGGAGAAAAACAGTTGTACGATTATATAATGTAATAAAAAGGTAAAAGTAATATGGGATGATGTTGGCAGTGCCTTTTGATCAGCGACGGCAGCCTCATCAGTGTCATTGGCAGCGTCCGAATCGTCGGGGCTAGAGGTGGCGCGCAGCAATTTTCGCTCCAGTTGTTTCTTATAGCTGAGTTGCAGGCCGTCCCATTCCAATTTGGTGGGCACACAGCTCCAAACATCTGGGAGAAATAGTATGACGGTTTCAACGCGAGAAGGAACCACTCGCCCCGACTTGTGGGTCGTTTCTGCACGTCTGTAGTAGAGTTCCAGGAAGCGGTACCTGTGCCGCAAGGAAAAACAATACCCAAACGTCAACTCAGGTTAATTGCCGCTTAGCTTTGCCTTATATGCTAAGTGTTTCGCTCGCTTGTTCGTAAAGCCCACGCACTGCATAACAAAGCCACATAACAGAGCGCACAATGTAGAAGACCGCACGATTTGAACGTAAGCACAACTGAATGGATCGTAATGATCATTAGAACAATAGTGATGATCTCTGTCTGCCACGACTGCTCGTCTATATCTCATCTGGGTGCTCCATAACAGGATCCAGTGCAGCGAATCTCCATCGGTCGGTCGTGTATACGATTAGATACATACCTCCACTGTAGAGATCGAGCTACAACTTTTAGTTATCAATTCAGAACTCGTATTAGAAGTTTACTTTCTCTCACGGATGGTACACCTGCCGGATATTTCTTAACGCTACAACATTCTATCTGATGTTACAAATTATATACCGTCAGAGTGCGTATACGTAATATCATACATTTATACAATGTGGGAAGTCGAGCGGAGCCGACGTGTCCAGAACTTTTCGACCAATGAAAATTTTTGATTTACGCTTGAATTAATTTGAAGTAAGATACACCAGCGAATAACGAAACAACAACGGGCAGAAAAACTAGATAGCATCACGTTGCTCTTTCGATGAAGTGCTTTAAACTCTATGGTAAAAACAAAATTGAAAAAAAAAGAATGTACATTAATATTTAAAGAATCGTACCACTGCGTGCAGCTGGACAAATCTATCCCCGTGAGCGCTTTACATGTCCTCACTGCTGTCCTGATCAGAACCGACGGATCCTTTTCAGGATTGGGACCATCCAGAGAAGGACTCCATGGTCCACCGATAGCCATCGTTTCATTTTTACCACGCAAGCCTACTAAGAAATTTATTAAACGTGTAGGATGCACATAATCACGGTCTGGGTCTCTGTCTTCTGATACACCACAACATCGTTTATATATTTCTTCCATGGCAGGCATAGATATCAACATGACCTATCGAACAATGTGTATTACTTTGTGGTATCGTGTCGTGGTAGTTAGTTAGAAATCCAACAATTTTTTAAATCGTAACGAACCTTTGCAGAGAATAGGTAATCAGCGTCAGAGGGTTCTAATATAGCTGTATTTTCAAAGCAGGGGTCAACGTCTTTGTGCATGACATGGAAAGAGCACGGCTTATTCAGAGTGAACGGCATGTGAGGCGGAAAGGCGTCTACCCATCGGAAATTAGTAGAGAAAAAGTCGCTAGGAATATACATATTTTGATAGCGTCTCCTTATTTCAAGCACATCTGCTTCAGGTCTGGAATAAAATAAAGACCACTACGTTAAATCCATTATCAAGACAATGTCAATATCAAATTGCTAAATCCACTTACAAATCAAGTGCTATTTTTGGTATCTGTACCATGTAACGCGGTACAAGCCTGGCACGTCGTCTCGGTCTCGGAGATTTACTTCTCCTGGTCCTCGACGGGCTACGTTCTTCCTTCTTCTCGCGTTCTCGAATTCTTTCCTCGCGTCGCCTTTTTCTTTCAATCTCTTCCTCGTCGTTTTTCCGTTCTCGAGGTGATCTCTCTCTGACTCTTCCAACTTTGTTTCGGTTACTAGCTGTATTAGCGCTCGCTGCGGTATTCGTGAATCTATCAACAATTACATCCCCCGGATAAAGAATTTTGACGAAATATGTAACGTATATAAAAGTTAACATTAATGCAGTGTACGTGATTTAATGTTAATTAGTGATTACCTATTATTAGCATTCTCGGCAGGCGGGGGCACGGCATTATATGTACCCGAGGTTCGGCTTTGCTGCGGCTGTGATTGCTGTTGTTGCTGACGAATGGCTTGGTTACTTTGTTGCGTATTGGCGTTATTATTGTTTCCCATAGGGAGTACTTGTATCCTGGTAGCGCTCCATTTAAATGGCATGGATGGATTGTACGACGCTTCTACCAGTACCCGATCGTTCACCACAGGATTAGATCCCTTAACACATGCACTATGAGAAATAGTATTGTATTACAAATTTCAAGTCATAAACATGGTAAAAGTTGTAATGCATAGTATCGTTACTTTGTTTGAAAGAATACATCTTCATCTACGAAACCAAAATTATCATATACTTGGGTAACTGTGCCAGTAAAGACTCTTTGCTTAGTCGAAGATGAAGGTACATTTTGCTGTACTTGTTGCGGAACACCAGCTACAGAAGGTTGAAACGCATTTGTATTCAATGCCCTTGGCGGTGGGTAAGAAACAGTGGCAACTTGCGGATATAGTTGGCCAGCTATACCAGATGGCAAGTTGGAACCGAGTGTTGCCATTGAAGCCATTGTTATATTCGGCTGTTGTACAAGATGTAAACTGGTAAATTTAGGAACTTACATATAATAACTTAATAAAAGATTCTTAATGATAAAAACCTGCTGCAGTCCTAAGCTTTGCTGATAAACTTGTTGGGTTTGTTGTTGATATTGAACCATAGGTTGTCCACCTATACTACCCATTGCCTGTCCTAACATTTGCTGTTGAATATTTTGTATCCCTTGTCCTATGTAGAAAAAATACAGAATCTATGTAAAACTTTTCATTTTATATTAACTGAATGTATATAAAGCTATTAGTGGTTTCAATTTTATTTTTATATATAAATGTTCATAAGATCTTATAACCGTATTGCATAATTTACATCATTACATTAGCTCTCTTCTTTGGTATTTTTTCTCAAATAAATTAAATAACTGTTGACAATATAGCAAATTGAAGAAGAAAAGTAATATACAAACTTCAATA